TCCATCACCGAGCTATGTCAAGCCTACGGTCTTAATGTTGCGGCCAAGCAAGTGGAGTTCCCACAGCTCAAATTCGCCAACAATCTTTGGGACTTTATCTGCGATGATGACTACAAAGCCAAAACCGCCAAGATCAAGAAGGTTCGAAACCCTGTGCTGAGATACGCCCTCAAGCTACTGGCCAACGCCTTCAGTGGGAGATCCGTGGCTCCAACAGTTACAAAGAACGAGCTGTGCTTCCTCTTCCAAGGGCTTAAGAAGATCTTGGGCGATAGAGCGGAGAATAATGAGCCAATGGAGGATGATCTTGGAAATGACGGCAACAATGGTTGTATCTTGGCCTCCTCTTTGGTCAAGTACAAGGCATGGGCGTTGAGGTGTAAGGCGAGCTCTGCACTCATTGGAGGCTTCCTCACACCGTTGTTTATACAAGTCGGAGTACCTCTTAAGGAGTTTGAGCCTTGCGCGGAGAGAGCTTGCATGGACGAGACCTACATGCGCAACACTGACTCCTTGGGTCCTACGCCAGCTGCAGGATTCTATGCTTACTTGTTCTACAACTGTGAGCATGAGAAGAAGGTGTTCATCTTGCCCAACCAAGAAGAGACGAACCTAGACAGCATGGGAACCATCGAGTTCTTGCCAAGTGATGAGGAATGTTTTGCACCTCTAGGAGGCACGGCTGCACTACCTCAGATCACTCTAGCACCTTCAGAGTTGCCTACTTCGGATGCTGAAATTCTGCCAAACTTCGATCTACCAAGGCTAGGCTATGAGCCGAGAACTAAAGCTGAGAAGTTCCTTGCTTCAGTTGTGGAGATCCAGCGCAAGGTCAACAAATGGCAAGGGGAAAAGATTAAGAAGTTCGCAAAGAAGATCAAGGACTTACAAGGGGGCTCATCCGAGAAGACCGTGAGTGAAGAGGTTAAGCAACCGGAGAAGAGAAGAAGATCAAGCTGCACGCCTTTCTCTACAAGAAGGCAGAAGCAAGGGGAAGGGCAAGGAAATTACCCACGACACTCCAAGGAAGAGCAGGAGGACTGGAGCATCCTCAAGCTCCAGCCGTGCCTAGCTCCAAGGTATCAACACACAATCCTTGTAAATATCATGCATCTTTTTCATTTTTGCTTTGTGTTTTGATCTCCTCTTGAATTTGTTTGACACCGAGACGGTGTCATTCAAGTTTGGGGGAGAGTGTGTGGTTTGACATGTTTTATTTCGATCTTATTTTGAGTTATCATCCTTGAGTCATCATGCATCATCTAAGTGCATAGAAAAATACAAAAAAATCATAAATTTTTTTTAAAAAAAATTTCAAAAAATCATGTAGCTTGCATTTGCATTGTTAAACATTTTAGGATTGAGGCTAGAATTTTAATCATTTAGGTTGTTTGCATTTGCATAAGGGGCAAAAAATTTCCTTGAGAAGTGTTTTAAGCTCATGAATTAGTTCAAGGCCCTAGTTAGTAGTTCTTTGATGCATTGTTCAAACTTTGAAAGTAAGCTCTAACCATATTTGGATCATTTGTCTTGATTTTCGTGGCTTAAGTTTAACAATCATGAATTGAATCCTTTCCTATCAAGTAGAACCTTAACTTGACTTTTTAATTATCATACTTGTGCATTTGAAAAAGGATACATGGATCAGATATACATTTTTAGGCTTTCTTACTCCCTTCTTGCCACTCTCTTGTAAGCCTAAATAGAACTCCTTACCTTTACCATTATCCTTCTTTCAAGCCAATTTCTTGTGTGACATCATTGTGAGGCCTTATTTTCGGTTTGAACTTGGCATAAAGTGTTACGTTTAGGCGACATGATTAGGATTTCATATGATTGCTAGCTTTGCATTTTGAAGCTAGTTTTAGGCTTAAGGTTAGGATGGGGATTCATGGGTGTTCTTGAATTTGCTTACTTGTTTCGGTTTAAAAAGAAGTTGATGTTGGGAGTTTGTTTAAAAGGGATTCATAGTTTTAAGTGGGTGGCATTGTTTTGTATTGTAAAAGCTCAAGTTTAAATGAAAAGAAGGTAGCTCTCAAAAAGAAAAAAAATTATGAGAAAAGAGCCAAAAGGCCAAGTGTTTAAAGAAAAAAAAAAGTATTTGAGAAGAGAGCTACCAAAAAGAAAAGAAAAGAGCTAAGTTTATGAAAGGCCATCCCACTAGCTATAAGGTTTAAGATGTTTCCCTAACTTGTGTTTGAAAAATGATAGTATGTATTTGGGTTTAGCTTGGCGTCTTGCCTTGTTTGATATCGGTAGTCTCTAGAGGGTGAGTGAGCTTTAAAAAGAAAGAAAAAAATGAGAGAGGGTTTTAGGATCATGGTTAGTGTATATGTGTAGATGAGAGTCTAGTCATGTATGCATCAATTGCCTTTACCTTTAGCATTATGCATAAGTTCATTCCTTTTTGAGATAAACCATTGCTTGGAGTACCCATTTGAATGAGATCATTTTCATCTCATGACCTTGTCCCTAGCCAAATGTATTCGGTTTTAAAATGCATAAGTGTGATTCACGGTTTGATCTTAATTGAATGTTAAAGGATAGGATTCTTGGATTGTTTGGAATATGAGAGTCATGATTTGAGATTTAATATGTGATGAATATCGCTAAGTTCTTTGGAGTATGAGTTTGTGAATTGCATCTTAGAATTGAGAACTAGGACCATTGAATTGATTCATTTGAAAAACACTTGTCAAGGAATTTGAGCTCCCACTTTTAAAACCTCTCTTCCTTTCTTGAATTTTGTTTGCTTAAGGGCAAGCAAAATGCAAGTTTGGGGGAGTTGAAATACTCATATATTTCGCATATTTAGCATGCATTTAGATTAGTTTTCATGCATTCACCCCACATAATAGGCTAGGTTTGTACCATTTGTCTCATTTTAGGTCCTAAGTGCACTTTGCATTAGCATTTGCATATTTCTTGCATTCTTGCATCATATTCAGGTTATTTTAGATACACTGGAGCTATGGAGGTTGCGTGGACGTGCTAAGGATCGAGAAGGAGCCTGTGGACACTTGGAAGGACTCAGCCATTCAGCAAAGGGACCGAGATCGAGAGAAAGATCAAGCTAGGCAGGTCGATCTAGATGAGATCGACCAGAAGATCGACTAAGCCCGGGTCGTTTAAAGGAAGGGGTCGACGTCAAGATCGACCGAGGTGATCGATCGTGAGTACGGACATGGACAAAGCCATGCAGAACGACCGCCAGATCGAGTTCACGACTCGATCATCCGAGGATCGACTAGAAGATCCTAATGATCGAGCAAAAGAAGACGTTCTAGCCGAGAGATCGAGTTATCAGATCGATGACTTAGCTCGATCTCGGAACCTTATCCGACAGCTCACTTTTGAATTTTAGTGAGGGGACCATTTCTCTTGTTGGCCTATTTTGGGCGTAAAACATTATCACTTTTCATTCACACACTTTGTCTCCAAGTTTTCTACCTTTTCCTTAGGCTGAGAAATCGGCATTGTTCTAGTTTTCAAGTTTTTCTTAGTTTTGTAAACTCTTAATCTTGCTTTAATCCACGTATTTTCCTTAATCTGTCTTCTTTAATCGCTTTAATCATGTTTAGCCCTTCATCGTTTGCATTTTCGTGTGTTTTAGCCATGAGTAGTGAGTAGTTTCCCTTGGGTTTAAGCTTGGGGCGATTAAGATGGGTTTAAAGGGTTTACGCTTGGGAATTTTCTTGTTCTTAATATATTCTCTTCTTGGATTTGAGCTCTTAATGCTTAGAGAGTCTTGGGAAAAATCTCTTTGATCTCAGAGATCTCCTTACCTTGGCGGGATTCAGGAATCTCTTAAAACCAAATCCAAGAGACTAGCTCATCCTTTCCCAAACGCCATGGATGCTTAGGGAGCTAGTTAGGCTATTATTTGAGATCTATGCTTAATGTTTTTTGACCCATCTTTCCACCACATGCCATGGGTTAGGAGGAAGGGTTGAGGAAAGGGTTTATACCACAAAATGTGTAGATCTAATGTTTTCAAAACCCAAGCTTGAATTTTGAACCCTCTTAACATGACCCTCAACCTTGAATCCTCTTTTAGCATTTAAAAACTCAAATTTATCATTTCCTAGTCATAAAGTTTACATCTTTAATCTTGAAAATCATTGTTCTAAGTTGTTAGAAATTTCTCTGTTTATCTGCCTTTAGAGTTTGATTTTTTTTAAATTAGTAGTCTTGCATTTTAAATTCCTAGAAGTCATATAACACCTGTTTAACCCTTTTGCAGGGATTTTAAAATAGTTTTTGTGGTCATTTAGCATTTGCATTTAGTTTTTATCGATTTCCTACCCCATTTACCCGATTTCACTTAGATTTGCTTAGCTCTTGCATTCCTAGTAGCTTTCATCAACCTGAGCTGGATTGATACCCCTCACCAATATACTACATCATTATCTTGGTTTGGGTTTGATCAAAACAGTCCCAAAAATAACTGTTTATCACTCTTCTCAAGGTAGTGACTCATTTTGAGATACTCCAGATCTATCCACAGTGGTAGCAAAGCATCTTCAGCATGCTCCTCAATATTCACACCACTTGCCATCATGATGGTTGTCACTGCTCCTCCAATATGCAGCTGTGGGTTCTTCTCCCTCTTTCCCTTGTTCAAGACCCAGCTTCTATAGGAATAGAGCTGCTCCATCAGTAGAGTCACATAACAAGGGTATCTTGCTGGCGCCCCCAGAAGTGTTCCATCCTTGCTGGAGCTCACTAGTGGCTGCATTGCATTGTACATGAAATACATCTCCTTTGTTGTGAGATTGGTTGTCTTCTTTCATGCAAAGAAAGTGTTTGCAAGAGCCTATTGAGCATATATCACAGTTGTATGCTTCAGGTGCTGGTTCTTTGTGATTCATTTGAATATGAAATTCAACCCTATAAATACAGTATCCCACTTTTTTTTACTACTGAAGGTTTCGATATATTTCAAAATCGAGAAATTTCTACTGGGGCGGACGCTATCCGAGAACAATTAGCCGATTAGGGAGGCGTTCGCGCTAGGTGGTATCACTTACGTCGGGGATTTCCTTCAGATTGTGAGGCTTCTTGATCTCGGTGGATATGTAGAAAAAGGTAAGAAACTCGGTTCGAAGTTAGACAAGTTTCTACAGAAGCTGGTCGACGAACGCTGGAGAAACAGGGGAAAAACAGAGGCAGAGAACTCGATGATCACTCATTTGCTATGTCTTCAAGAATCAGAACCTGAGTATTACACCGACGAGATCATCAAAAGACTCGTACTGGTTTGTGACTTCTTTTTTTTTATTCTTTTTGATTCCAAATATATAATTAGGAAAATCAAGACTGAATCTAGAAACATTGCAGGTGATGTTGCTGGCTGAAACAGACACGAGGGCGGTTACATTGGAGTGGGCTATGTCTATCCTTCTGAATCACCCGGAGGTTTTAAAGAAAGTGAAAACGGAGCTGACCAACGTTGTCACGAGTGAAGGTCGTTTGATGGAAGAGAGAGATGTGGACATGTGTGAATATCTCAACAATGTGATCGCCGAGACTCTCCGGCTGTATCCAACAGCACTGTTACTAGTCCCGCACACGTCGTCCGACAACTGTGAAGTTGCTGGATATGATATTCCACGTGGCAGTTGGCTCGTCATCGATGCGTGGGCTATTCAGAGAGAACCGAAGGTATAGGATGAGCCATATGCTTTCAGGCCAGAAAGGTTCAAAGCAGTGTAGTTGCCAGCCCCAATCACTTCCCATAGCATTTGGTTCTACCTCTTGCTGATCTTGAAGTGGTCCCTCTAATCAACATGAGGATACATACCTAGGCCATCAGAGATCTCATTGAAGGTTCCTGTGAACTCCTGCTTGCCAAGCCTGAATGATATCCAGCCATCTCCATTGGAAAGCTCACTCTCTTCATATCTCACCACTTTGAAAGTGGAGGGAAACTGATAGGTGAATTGCTTGTAGGAAGGAAGTCCTTTCTCCATGAAATCGCTAAGCCCTATACTTCCAAAGATTGACTTGGAATCTACATATATCTCAAGCCTTCATCGTGGGGGCACAAGGATACCTTGTAGCCTTTAAGGTACACTGATTGAAATGCTCCATGAGTTCCCTTGCACTTGGCTCCTTGGTTGAAACTTCTTCCACAGCCTTTCCCTTTCCTTTAGACTTGGCAGCCTTGCTCTCAACAGGTCTCTTTCTAGCAGCCTTTGATGATTGCCCATCAGCAACACTCTTGACTTTGTCTCTTCTGGTAAGTGGAGTATATGGTGCTTCCTTTTGTGGTGCTTGACCTTTGTTTCCAGCAGCATCTTTAGTTCTCACCATGGAACCTACAAGAACAAAGCTTGAAGATCTAATAAGTAAAAGAACAAAAGTTGAAAAGCAATGACTTGAAGCTCTTAAAAATTTTTTTTATCAAATCTAAGAGAGGGTTAACTAGTAATTAAACTAAGTCAAACCTCTAAAGAACTAAGAGAATTCGAAAGCTAAAAATCATAAACATGCTAGAGTTCTTAACAGAATTAAACCATTATGCATATGAACCTAGCATGGTGGCTTTAAACAAGGTTAAACATGATTATGCAAAGTGAATTCAAAGCAAGGAAGCAATTAAGTGCATGAACAGTAATCAATCCTAAACATTCTACTTGCTTAACTAACAAATTCCACAATGCAAAAATCAAAACAAGCACTTTAAACTAATCAAAACTAGCTCTTAATGCAAAATATTCAAAAAATTTAAACAAGCTCAAGGCATAAGAACAAGAAATGAATAGTTTAAGAAAGCAAACCTTTTAGGATTTCTGAGCACTTAAGAGAGACAAATGAAACAGAGAAAGAGCTAATAGATTTTGTGGTCTTAGTGAAAGAAAAGAGAAAATGAAGAGTAAAGAGTGAAGAGTGAAGAGGAGTTAGACGGCTTTTATAGAGCTTAAGGGGGAACATAAGGAATCAAATGAGTGGGGGGCAAAAACAAAAGTGCTCAAAAGTGGAGCAGAATGGCAGGGAGGAGCCAAATATTTAAATCCAAACTCATTTGGCTCCAAGCCAAGAGAGGGAAATTGTTTTGAAAATTTAAGAACATACCTCGCCGGCCCTATCGATCACTTTTGATCGATAAAAGTGATCGATAGGGTGGTATCGGTCGGTTTTGACCGATACATGTGATCGATAGCCCTCTGCCCATTCCCATCGGTCACTTTTGATCGATACAAGTGACCGATGGTGCATCCGCTTGGTTTCCATTGGTCACTTGTGATCGATACAAGTGACTGATACTACATCCGCTTAATTCCGATCGGTCACTTCTTGACCGATAGGGATGACCGATAGAAATCATGCTTGCATTTCTTTTCCCTTATCAGTTACAAGTGACCGATGGGGTTTCCCGATGCACTTCTAGCTCCAACAGTATCGATCACTTCAGACCGATGGTCATGACCGATAGGCTTGTATCGGTCTGGCATGACCGATACAAGTGATCGATACCAGCCAGAAGACATCTGTTTTTGTTTCCCCAAACATCTTCTCAATCCCCAATCCAAACTCCTGCTTCTAAGAACACTAGAAAAAACATAAGCATGAACTGTTAAGCATAATATATACAAAGGATACCATGGGACTACCTTCCAAGTGTGCTTGTTTAATGTCACTTAGCTTGACATTGATTACCTCTTTAGTGGAGGTAAGGAGAAGGAGTCTTGGAACTCCTTGGTGGTGTGTTGTTCCTCTTGATCCTGGTGGTGAGTCCATCAATCCTCATCTCAGCAAAGGGCTTAGACTTGCCTCCTTGCTTCAGCTTGTTGCAGAATTCACCATCCTTAGAACAAAAAAGCTTCAAGATCACCCCTCCTTCTTCAGTAACCAACTTGATTTGATTCATCTTCTTGTAACCAACCACTTCAAGGACCTCCTTTTCAGTGGTGTCTTTAAACAGCCTTGACAAACAGCAACCATCAAAGCTCTCTCCCATGTAACCTTCAAACTTTGGCCAGTTCTTGTCAACTACTTTCATCTTGTTCAGCTCCATGGAGAAAGCATGATCATGCTCCAGCTTGTTGATTTTGCTGTCAAACTTCAAGACCTTATCCTTAGTAAGCCTCAGCGCTGTTGTGCACTCTCTAGCATCAAAGACAGCGCCAGCTGAAGCTAGAAATGGTCTTCCAACTATGATGTCATTCTTGATCTGACCTTCAACATCCAACACCAAGAAATCAGTTGGGATAGTCACTTATTCTATCTGCATAGGTACATCCTTGAGAGCTCCTAATGGCATCTTCACAGTCCCATCAGCAATGGTTAGAGAGACATTGCTTTGCTGGAACTTGGTGTATCCAAACTCCTTGGCTGTAGAGGCTGGCAACAGATTGATGCTTGCACCCAAATCACACAAACAGCTCTTGAAAGTCTTGCCATTAAGCTCACAAGGGAGTGTGAAGCAACCAGGATCTCCAAGCTTCTTGATGTTCAGCTCCTTAACTTCTGGTGCTTTAGCCTTAGCTCTCAGTTTCCTAAGCTCTTCTTCAGCATCTAAACCTCTCATTTCCATTGAGTAGCATAAAGAGTCTTATACTTCTTGACTAGTAGCTCCTTGAATCTTCCTGGAAATGGAATGTCAGGTTGATAAGCTGGGAAAACATCAGCTTAAGCTTTCTTCTTAGCATCAGAAACTTTAACTAGCTCGTCCCCCTCACTTTTTTCATCAATGTCCTCATTGATCATGGACAGAAACTCATCTATAATAGCATCTTCCTGACGGGTGAAAGCATCAAGAGATTCAACAGATTGGCAGTATTCCTTTGGGTTCATCTCACATTTTCCAGGGAGATTACCTAGAGGGCGTGGTGCATTTGCTACTCCCTTGTTGTTCTCTAATGTTTTCACCCTTGCATCTAAGCCATCAAACTTGTTTCTCAAGGTTGTGTTGACCTGATTGTTGATCATTTGTTGCATCAGAGTTTTGAGTTCAGGATCTTGGGAACTTGAGGAAGCTTGTGCTGGAGCTTGAGCATTGAATCCTGGAGCGCTATAGGGCGCTCTAGGCTGGAAATTGTTGTTCCTTTGTTGAAAGCCTTGATTGTTGTTGTAGGGAACAAAAGGTTTTGAACCAGCTTGATGTTGCTGTTGAGGTGGGTACACTTGGTCTTGAGGATTGGCAACATTGTTGCTTCTATAAGATAGGTTTGGGTTTGGTTTGTAGTTCCCATACCCATTGTAGCCTCCTTGATTACCAAAATTGTTCATCTCCTCAACTTGGCAAGTCTCTTGATCATAAAGCTGAACCATGTCACCAACAAAGTTGACGTCCTTCCTTTCCCTTAGCAAAACATCAATCTTCTCATGTAAAGCCTTGATTTCCTTCTTGTTAGACTCCAGCTCATTTTTAGCACTTCTAGGAGTTCTGTCAAACTCTTCATTATAGTTTCCATCATACTGTGCTAAGTTCTCAACCAGCTTCAATCCTTCATCTCACATCTTTTGACAAGAAGGTTCCATTTGATGCAATATCTAAGAGCATTCTGATTTTAGGCAAGACGCCCCTGTACAGAGTTTAGAGCAGAGAGGCCTTTTATTGTTCCTCTGTGCAAACCCTGAGATTTCATTCCTGATCCTAGCAGTCCTTGAAGTAGAGAAGAACTTTGCTAAAAATGCTCTTTTGCACTCATCCCAACTAGTGATACTTCCCTGAGGCAAGTTCTTTTCCCACTGGTGAGATTTGTCCCCTAAGGAGAATGGGAAGAGTCTCAGTTTGAAGCCATCTTTGCTGACACCATTTATCTTGGTGAGTGAGCAGAGTCTATCAAAGTAATCCAAGAGATCCAAATGGTCTTCAAGTGGTAACCCATGGAACTTACTGCCCTAAACCATTGAGATCAATCCAGATTTGATCTCCAAGTTATTGTTCTGAACTGCTGGAGGAGTGATCCTTGTTCTATTGTTGTAGGCGTTTGGTGCATCACCTGCACCTATTGGTATGACTGCTCTTGGAGCTAGAGCCGCTCCTCTAGGGTCTTTCTCTCCCTGCAGTCCCTGAAATCCCTGCTGGTCTTGTTGGCCTTGAGCATCAGCTGCTCCCTGAGGACCTTGGAACCTCATATCATCCACATCATGTGGTTCCTGAACATTCATCCCTAGTGTCTCCAAGTGTTGCTGTCTTTCCTGTTGCCTTCTTGCTCTCTGACCCATATCTAACAGATTGATGTTGTCTATGAAATCCACTAAGTTGCTAGAGCCTCTTGATCTTAAGATCATACACCTGAAAGCAGCAATGACAGTCAAGGATGATTAGTAACCAAATATAAATAAAACTTGATCTTATAGTTTCCACAAACTCTAATGATCCAAACAATAACCCCAATGGCGGCCAAATAGGTACAAGATTTTTAGGTCTTGATTCATCACCTAAGCTTGTACTAGTCAATTGTAGTATAGCATAGGTTTTATCAATCCAAAGGGAGTTATGAATATATGCCAATAGAGTTGCAAGCAGAAATCTCTAAGTCAAGCTAATTGAGAGAAGATTTGTTGTTCACACAACTAGAACTAACAACCTAAGGGATCAAACACCAATTAGTACTCAAAAGAGAACAACTTAGCAACGATCAATGAACAAAACAGAGCAATAAAACAGAGCACTTAAAGCAAAATTCAAAATTCAATACGTGAAAACA